GATGGGGGAGGGCTTTGATATTGGAATTATGGTTGAAAAACCCTAATCTGGGTATGGGGATCATGGATTTGGTCTAGGGTTACTGAGTTTGTTATAATCCGGATAATTAGACCTCTAATTATTAATCTTTGCGTATAAATTGTTGTTTGTAGACCTAGAACAAGCGGAACGAATCCGGAAAGGAAAGATTCAAGTGCCTTTGTCACGACCCGATTTCTCGAGTCATAATGGCACCTACTATACCCTACCAATAGGTAAGTCAACCCGTAACCCAGAACATCAAGCAATGAGCGAAAGGGCAGAAACTAACGATAACAATAATCTAAACAAGAATAACAAGGCGGAAGCAACCCAAAATAAATATATACAGAAATCCCTCCCAGAACCTGGAAGTCACTAGTACAGAGCTATCTAATAAAGAGTACAAGTCCCAAAAGTGGACCACAACAGAGCGTGTCTCAAAGGCAACAAGACTAGCTAAAACAAAAGAAGGAGACAGAACAAACCCAAAACGCCAAGTGCTCGCCCTCGTTTCTGAATCACAACTGCAAAAAAAGGCTGGAACTAATCACCGCTGGTAACTGGTACTGGGACCTGCATCACGAAATAGATGCAGAGCGTAGCATGAGTACCAACACAACAGGTACTCAGTAGGCATCATAGGCCGACTGAGCAAAAAGGCTAAAAACAATAAGAAACGATAGAATCTAGACACAGAGAGGTCAAAGCGGATATGAAAAGAAAGCACATGAGCATACCAGAAACAAACTAAGTACAACTAAACTAAACCTAACTGGACCCCATATGCCGAAAAGGTACACTCGTGCGCAAGTTCAAATAAAACCTGAACAGACCCCTAAAAGCCCGACAGGTACACAGAATAGCTAAGTCTACTGAAAAAGAAGAAAACCGGGCTCCCAGCCCAAAGTAACTAAGATAATCCATCAGACTCCACCCAGCCAACAGTGCACTCCCAGCCCAGCTAGAAAGAGAGGCCCAGGGCCGGTCGCCGATATCAACGAATCTACCCAGCCAGCGATACGTTCCCAGCCCAACTAAAAAGAACGACCCCGAGGGTGATAGTATCTCCAATAGGATCCAATCCAACAACAACCACCGTGGAACGCCGTCCACTCTAAGAAATCACAAAAAAGGCTCCAAGCCTATACCATCTCAATCCCACGCCTCTAGTGATGCGCCAAACCTTTGAGAATGCGTCGGAACCGCAGAATGAGAGGGAGAAGATACAGACGTGCAGCAAGCAGCGATAACGCCTAATCTAAGGCTCAAACTATCAGACTCAAGTCTGCTACTCCAGTCTACAAGGAGCTAAGTCAATCGAACGACGTCGACAGAAAGTCAAGGCTATCCAGCCCACACAGGTCATAAGTCTAAGGCAATGCTAGCCTAACCTAGACTAAGGACATCATGTTTACGGTTAAGGATGAACAAGGCATACAATATATAGCATACAAGCATACAATAGCATTTAGCACATAAGCATGCAACTCTACTAAACTGGTTAACATGATACTATACCCTAAATATGGCCAATCGATCCTAACATGAGGTATCTAATCAAAGTAAGGTAGGAAACTGGTACCCACCCACAATTCATTCCAATCGACATGCATTTACACAATTAAGCTCAATCTAAAAGAAAGGAAGTTGTAGCCTACCTTAAGGCTGACCGTGCGCACTCCAAATCACTTTATCGGAGTTTTTCATTTTCCTTCCCGAACGACCTTTGAAAGCTGTCACTCTATCAAATATAGGGTCACAACATTAGTACGGTCGTTTAGACACCAAACTCACAACAAACGGAGGGTCAATTTTAGAGTCAAAACGGGAATCGTGGGACCCGCACCGAATTGTCCGAATTTGACTCCGTCAAGAGACCCTAAATAGCACCCCAAACTTGTGTTCCAAAATGGAACACAATTCGAGGCTCAAAACACAGCAAAAACCAACAAGCAAGAAACCACACTTTAATCAACTAAAAGAAAACCTACAGCAGCAGTCTAAACTCGGAATAAACGAGAATCGAAAGGTGTCCAGCACTCTTTGAACACTCTACGATGAAGCCACGACAATTCCCAATATGTGGGACTTTGAATCACCCAAAACCGAGCTAGAATGAAAGAGATATGACCAAAACAAGAATGCCAAAAACAAAGGCTCGAAAAAGGTACTGCAGTCAGGCTAATCGCGAAATTACCTCGAACTACGCGCACTCAATAACTTCCAAACACTCTACAGAAAAGCCACCTAAAAAAACAAAGCTCCCACACTTCGAATCGCCTAATTCGGACAAAAGATGAGAGAGTTATGGGGGTTTTAAGGTTTGGAAAATGTTGTTGTTTTTCTGCATTTATAGCAGATTTTCTGCAATTTTCCAAAAACTAAAACTCCGACGGGGTGCTCTGAACTCGTTCAGAACCCCGTGCACGCAAACGAGATATGCAACCATACCAAATTCGATATTCCGGACTCAACAGCGCAGTCAAAATTTCCATCAGAGGTCATCTTGATAAAAAGTGGGTCCCATTTCCAAAAGTCATTTCAAGTCAAAAACCACAAAAGGGCTCGAAAAGATATCGAAAACATCGGGACACAAAAGAAGGGTCAATCTAGACCAAACTCGACATTTCGGAGCTAACCGCGCTGATGGAATTCTCATCCGAGCACGTTTACTCAAAATGTTGACCAAAGTCAAACTTAGGCTTAAACTTAAAGTTAAAACACCTAATCGCACCGACTCACACTGAAAACGTCGGGAGTCATGCCGACCATGCTACTAGCCTAAAATGACCCTTTCGAAGTTGATGGAATCGTTAGAAATGGATTCTGATGTCATCTTCTTGAACTTTTGATCGAAAATGATCGTTCAAGGTTCATAAGCTCCAAAACACAAAAACTCGCACCAAGACCAAACGAACGACCAGGTGACCGAATTGTCAGTCCAAGCAACTCATAAATGACTTGGGGTCGCTACAGGAACGCTCTAAACAACACATAGAAGGCAAGACACAGAAATGACCTGGAGGGTCATTACAGCCTTAGGGGATTCAAGCTTGGATTCGAGGTAGGTGATAGTTGTGATTTGATGTTTTGCGTGATGTATGTTAGTAATTGATTCATTTTAATACATGCATGTATGTGAATGAAGCCTATTGATCACACCTAATGTAAATAAGTATGAACAAAGAACTACATGCCATGAATCACCTCTAGTTGTATGATTGTGAGAATATACATTGTGATTGTGATTTTGGTTTGTTGAATGGGCGAGTGTCACGATCCGACACACTAAATAGGATCGATTGCCACATTCCGACATAAACCTGGGATTGGTTGCCACGTTCCGGCATAAACATTGGATCGGGTACCACGTACCGGTACACTAACAGTTTGGGTATGGGTTCCAAGAGAGGACCATTGGATTGGGTTCCATGAGAGAACCATTAATTTTAATATCTACTTGACTTAACTGTATATATTGAGAATGTGGAATCATGCATTGCTTTTGAAATGATAATCGATGTGTATATATATATTCTATGCATGTATGTGTTTACCTTGTTGTAATTATGATATATATTGTGCTTACTGGAATAGTCACGTGATCTTACCAGTATATTGTAGTTGTGTACTAATACTGCACTTGCTTGTTCTTTGTTGAGTACAGGGCATTTTCAGGCGGCTATTGATAGACCTCAGCTAGGTGACTATTAAGCGTGATCGGATTCAAGGGTGAGTCAGTTCTTTCAGGCTGCCATGGATTTAAGTCCACTCTTTCCGAACTCAGACTATTTGTTTAAGGTGTTTGTTTAGTTTCGGGGTTGTACCCTTTCTTCTTAGATTTGTCGTTTGTAGAGTTTTAGTACAATGACTTTCAGGTTCTAAGGGTTGAATTTCCATATTAGTTTGGTTAGTTATTTGTTAAAACCTTTGGAGTTTATGGGGACTCCATTTTTATTGTCATTTAAACCTGCTTCCGTAACTTTAAATGCCTTAGTTTTGATCTAGTTGTGTAGTTTTTGGTTAAGTTGTTTGGTTTGGGTTATAGTAATGGTTCTACCACCGGAGGGTTAGTGTGGATGCCAATCACGACGGTTTGGGTCGTGACATATATCCTCAACAAAATTTTGAGCACAAATTATCTCTAGGTTGACTTGAAAAATTCAAGCTAAGACATGGTATCAAGTCATTTTATCATTTCAGAGAGTGGTTTAATTGATATACAAGACATGGAGACGAAATTGGAATCCATAAGATAAAAAAATAGATCAATTTCCTATGAAAGATGTTTTTAATATGGATGAAACTGGTTTATTTTACAAGTTACAAGTTGTTCATTCTCTTGCTATGAAACAACTTGAAGAAAGAAAGTAGGACAAAGAAAGACTCACAATTGTTTTTTGTTGCAATGAAGATGGATCTGAAAAAATCCTTTATAGATTATTGGAAAATATGCAAAGCCATGTTACTTCAAAAATGTCAACATGAACAACTTGAATTGCCATTATCGTGCAAACAAGAGTATGGATGACAAATGTGCTTATTGATGAATATATTCGTTAGTTTGACGACAAAATGCTTGGTAGATGAGTTTTGCTTATGGTAGATAATTGTCCAACCCATAATAGAAATATTGAAGGACTACAAAATGTTGAATTGTTTTTCTTGCCACCCAACATGACATCCAAAATTCAACCTTGTGATGATGGGATAATAAGAACTTTCAAGATAGATTTTATCGTAGGATATTAGAAGGCTATGAAGTGGGACAAACTGATTCAACAAATGTTTTGGATGCTATCAATTTTGCAATCCTTGCTTGAACAACAATTGTTCAGCAAGAGACAATAGCAAATTGTTTTTTACAGTGCAAAATTCGTTCGGGGGATGCAATCTCAAAGAATTTGAATGAACCCACTTGTGAAAACGTCATTCATGAACTTGAGGTCATGATTAGTGATCTCGATTACCATAATAAAATGGATGTCAATAACCTGTTGGATTATCCGGGTGAAAGTGATACATGTTCAAAGGCCCAGAGCTTAGAAGACATTGTGAATACCATCGAAAAAAACAATGTTGATAATGAAGTTGAAGACGATACTATACCTTTGAAACCAGTTACGCATAAGGAAGCACTTATCGCATCTAAAACTCTTCACAATTTTATGGTGCAGTTCGAAAATACAACACCGGAGCTCTTGGATGCACTAAAAAAAAGTTAGAGATGAGCTTAAACTAGATTTAAATTTTTTAAAAGAAAACTTTACACAATAGAATCATATTTTACTAAATTGTCTTAAATATATTTGTACTTTTAAAGAATTATTAATTTATGATATTAATGGAACCATATATTTATATAGGGATATTCTGGAAATATATTATTTTATTGAAATTGAAATTGATGATTTTTTTCATTGATCAAAGTCGTGACTGAGAAAAATATTATTTTAAAGAAATTATTAATTTACCAATATTAATTAACCGAGTATTAATTTACTGTATTTAATACGCTGCTTCTCACAATTAGAACACTCCATTTTACATCGCCTTCATCAGATCTGGTCTTCTCTTTTTAGGTATGTATCTCCTTCATCGTTGTCTGCTCAGTGCATTTGGTTCTTCGTGTAATCTTGCCTCTTGGTCGATTTTATATCTTTTTTTTGTGTGTATCTTTGGAGGTATGTATCTGTTTTCGTATTTGAGCTGTTTTTTCGAACTGAATTTGGGGTTTTTTTTGGTTTTTTAGAGGATTTGTAATTTTTTGGGTCTTAAAGCAGTGGTTTAGGGTTGAGCCGCCCTTGAGGGGAGGTAGATTGTATTGTACGCACACATGCATATCGTTGAATCTGCTATTTGAGATGAATTTAAGTGTTTGTGTATTAAACTTGACAATCAGGTTGTTGTTATGTGCAGAAGCCGTCTATAGAAATTAAAATTAATATAGTTTCATCAAAGTTTTTCATTTGTATAAGCTGCTAATATGTTTTTTTTGCTTTTCTTTTTCTCTACACAGTTACAGTTATGAAGGGAGCAGTGTCATTTGGTGACCAGGTAGAGATATCATCGGGTGACTCATCTTCCTCTAATACAGATGACCGTAAAACGGAAAGCAAATGGATGAAAAATACTATCACCGTCGATCAACCTGTTAGCGAATGGGATTCTGAAGGTTAGTGTCATAATTCACATAATTGTGATTGTCTAGTGATTCTCTCAATCTACTTGCTGAAAAAGTGTCTGCATATGTGGAAACAGACTTGTGTTGCTTTGTTACTGCCAAATAAAAAGACAAAAAATCTTCTCTTTATTAAGTTTGGGATTTATTGTGTAGGTAGATAATTTTTATGTTTATCCTCAGTACCTGAGGATCTTATTGGACTGTTAGCATAATGTTGTATCCTCCTTTAATATGGAAGCTTGGGAATCATAGATGGACCTAGGAATTCAACTATCTGGTCAAGATTTATCACATCAAACTGTTGATTGCTGAAAGTTGCATTAGCAAGCAGCTCATGCATAAGTAAAGATTGGTAGAATGTTGCCTAGAACTTGTTAATTCCATCTTACATCTTTCCCGCAGTTTGTCTTACAGTCTTTGGTGTTATGGCATTCTGTAATGAAGTTCAAACATGCTGGATCTTTTTAATATGAAGCTTTTATGCTAACATATATCATCTAATAGCTCTTCGGTTCCACTTGTTTAATGTAAGCTAAGAGCATCCCAATAGAAGTGATTTGAAACACTCTTCGTAAACAGTTTGATTTTCCGTCCTAAAAAATTGTATTGTCTATGGTTAGAATATGCGCAAAAGCTGAACTTCCATTATTTCCTTTGATGATGTAAGGTGTTGCATTAATGGTATCAAGAAGATGCAATACAAGTAGAAGATAAACTTGGTTAATCCCTTATACAGTAAAACAGGAATCTAACCAAAAGTATAAAAGTTTGCTGCTGATCCAGAGTAAGAGGGCTAATAAAATCTAAAAGGGGGATAATTGCTTTTTTCTTCTTGGAACTATGCTGCCATGCTCATATACCTTCTGTGATAGCTTTCAGCCACCTCCTTTCATCTTTCCGGTCAGTTTTAGTTCTTTTCAGTGGATTTTCACTGTGGCAAGCACTGTTTCTCTTCAATCATTTTCTAGTGACTGCTTAGAAACTTAAGGTTTTTTTACAACATGGGGAAGTACGACTTATTCCCATGCCAGTTTTGATTCTTTTGATATCACAAAGATTTTCTCGAAAATCAGAACGTTGTTCGAATGGGTCAAACCTAAGTTGCCCGGACTCTCCGAAAATGATGCCGGACCTGTGTCGGATCCTTCAAAGTTCCACTATTTTTGGAGGATCCGACACGCACCCGTCGACATTTTGGAAGAGTCCGAGCAAGATAGGATCAAACACAACAAAAATTCATAGAGGTGAGTAATTTTAAGCCTTAAAGTTATGCAGTGGGTTGGTGATGTAATTAATACATCATCCAAGGAACAACCGTTGACAGTCAGAATATGGAAAATAAGGGACCATTTTGTGTGACAAGAGGGGGTTGCTAGGATGATAAACACCCTTCACCTCCAACCCTAAGATTGTGGGTTCAAGTCACCGAGGGAGCAAAAGGGGTGGGAGTTCCTAGGGAGGGGTAAAAAAAAAGGACCATTTTGGTGAATTTTTCTGCACTCTTTAAAGCAATGAATATGGAAGGTACATCAGTTTTATTGCAATATAAGGGGGTAGTCAAGCCGTAATTATTACTCCAGAGGTGACATTTAATGCTGGATGGTCGGATGTAGACCAGAAAATCACCAGATTCATAAATGCTTCAGGGAGAGTGAAGAACATACCAATCCCCGGAACTGTACATCATGACACCTCTTCTAGTGATGTAGAGCACATATGGGAAACAAAAGGGACACAGGCATCAACATTCAAATTCATGAGCTCCAGGATCTCCATTCCTGGAAGCTCTAGGATCGCCGAAGTAGACACAAGGAATCTGTTTATTCTTGATCTAAAAGTTGAATCCTCTGACCTGGACCAAGTAAAAGAGGTACCGGTCACATGCAAACCAAAAAGGTGGTGGTTATCAATGAACTCCGGAAACTCCTCTATGGCCCTAGAGTCTCGACACCACCCAATACCCAAACCTCTCCTTCGAGAATGGATTCGAGAATTGAATGGTATTAGAGTCCCCCGTCCTTGTTAACACCCAAACTCCTTTGCTTCCCCTCTCTGAGATCATCTATCTCTTTTTCCCTAACCCATTTGCTTCTTTTTCAATTTCTTGTAGCAATTTTAACATCTTATCCTATAGGGTATTTCTCTCCTACCCAGCTTGACATGTCTTGCCCAACCCCAAAGCTAGTCAATGGTAGTGCATCAACTCCTGGAACACCATTACAGCCACTTCCAGAGCCAATAACCAGCTGAAAAGTCTGTCTATAATTCATCTAACATTGAAAACTTAGGGAAGTGGGAAAGCACATTTTTTGACTAATAGCTTTTTGATAGAGGCAGTTAGCCTTTATCTTCTTTTTTTTGTGGTGCAACAAGATATTCTTGACTGCATATTAATTGAAGTACCTACTTCATCAGAGATCCTAGTTTTCTTGTCTATCCTGTAGGTTGACCTCTCCCATCTGGTCTCTTTCCCTTTTTCTCCAGCTTATGTCCAGAACACAACCACCAGCTACCAGAAAGGCTGCTCTTTGAGTGTGCACAAAGAGAATGCAAAAGGACATATAAGCTCCTCTTAGTTTTCATATCTCTTATTTCATCATTTTGCTTCCAATTGCAAATGCACATAGATTTTCTGTTTGTTCATTCTTGATTTTGGATCTGTATGAGTATTAAGAGAACTTGATTTTGGATCTGTATGAGTTTTAAGAACAATGGAGCATTAACTTCATTTTGGGCTGAAAATGCTGAATAACTTGTTCTCTTCTTTCGAACAAGTTTTTTGCAACCTTGAAAATGGTAATAACAAAGTACAGATAATTTTAGAATTAGGAGATTTTCATAAAATGCAAATGCTGCATCTGGACAACTGTTAGATGCTTGCTTGTATTGCTTTTGTTTTTCTTCTCCATTAAATAGATCATGAGACAATTAGTATACTTTGATTCAAGAAAACCTATCAGAAGAAGAAAATGTTACTACTTATAAAATAAAATAAGAAAAAAAGAGGCTACTTTGCATCAAGAAACTCTATCGCCTAACAACAATTGAGTTTCAGTTGAGATGAGAAGAAGAAGGGCTGGTGGAGAGGGGAAGCAAAAGAGGAGGCGTACTTATTTTTTTTGGTGTGGTTAGTCAAAAATGAGAAAATTAGATGGGAAAGTTTAGTAGATACCCATCCATGTCAATTTTTTAGCCTTGTCAAATTAGGAAGATAAGGTGTATATCTAATTTGCTTTCTTGTGATCTGTACCAATTGACCGACGATCTCTGGCTAGAAGTAGCTTTCATTTAATAGAAGCTGGATGTCCCAAGGAAAATTCTCATGCACAAATCTCTGTTCAGTTCAATTAAAACATCTCCTTCCTGATGTCAAAGCGCAAGTCTGAGAGGTCTCTTAGATGATAGTATTGATTCTCAAATGAGTTACTTTTTTGTTTTGTGAGTACGGATATTGTTTCAAAGATTTTATGTTCAGGTCTTGGTTCAAACTAATTGACACATGAGTGACTACAGTGCAAGGTTACGATGTATCTTTACTTAATTCATATCACTAGTATTACACTCTCTCTATTGCAGATTCAATCCTAAGAAGAGCAAGAATGTACCAAGAGTACATGAAGGTGGTCCCTCTTCCCACACAGCGTGGCTTTGTTATCCCTCTCACCTCATGGGTTGGATTGGCTGCATCCATGAAGGAGTTATATGGGCAACCCCTACATTACCTGACCAATGTCCACATGAAGAAGTTGGATTCAATGAGGTTTGGTAGTGATAATGAAGACGTTCCATTAGATACCATCATCGATCCTAGCAAAGCTGAAGCAACCATCTGGCTTATTGAAGAAGTTCACAGGTCTACATCATCTCATCATTACATAGCTAGACTTTGGCTTGCTGATCCAATGTATCATATCCATGTTGATGCAATTTTCCCGAAGCTGCAGAATTCATCAAAATAGATTCTTTCCCAATCTATCTTTGATCGACTTGGAATCCCATCTCCATCACTCTTTCCCAAACAACCATGTATGTAAAAAAATTGCATATCATATGGATGCTTTAAGCTATCTCCTCATTTCATAGGTTGATGCAGTGAACATATGGGCTATGTAGTGAAATTGTGCTTGTGAGGTATGTGGTGAAGTAAAAGTTCTATTGTGTCTTTGCGGTTGTCAACTTAAGATAAACGGAATACACCTATCAGCAGTGGAGTAGTTAAGAAGATATGAATTCAAGTTAACCTAAATATTTGACACAGTTTGGGCATAGATATATGTTCGAAAAATATCTAAAATTTCAATTAACACTCGATTTTGAACCCATATTTTACATTAAGTTAGATATACGATATTGTGTACACTGTAGTTAATCATTGAACAGCATGTATGAAACACTTCTATGTGCAAATAACAAGGTACACTTTATAGATAGCAAGTGACTGACGTAAAACCGACAAAGAGATCTATGATTATTACTTATAAGGTAACATCACAAGACTAAATATATGCTCTTTCTCTTTTCTTTTTCCTTGTATCTTTTTTATGAATAAGTATATTTGTAACAAGAAAGAACTCCGATAAAGCTCCACTTGGTAAAAGATGAAGCTCTCTTTTCCCGTTCCCACTTCCATCTTTGATTTCTAAAGAGAAAAAAAATATATAAACATGCAACATGAGATGTAATCATAATTTGATTTCATACATCATATGAGAAAAATGTGGTGATTAAAAATTTTAGATTTTGGTTTTGTGGTGATTTTATTTTTTTAGATTTTAATTGTTTGATTTACAAATAATAATAATTGCTGGTGGTTTCCCAAACCATTTGGTAGTGATATGGTGGAATCGGTGGTTATTAAAATGGTGGTAGCTACATATGAGGAACTTTACAGAAATTGAAGGGAAGAAAAAAAGTGCTAGTTTCAAATATACACAATTAAGTAATTAGTTTATAAAAAATATAATCATGTTTTTATTTACATAAAAATCAGCCAAAAGTCACATAAAGTAATACTGAATATATATTATGATACATTCAAAAAACTAAATATAATTACCTACGCATGGGCTATACATTGAATATACATTATGATACACTAAAAAAATTGAATATAGTGTAACTATACATGAAGTATACACTAACTATCTAATTCTCACTAACACAAAACCTCCCCTAAGCCATCCCATATAACAATTTAGGGGGGAGGCGGAGACAGAGGAGGAGGAGATGATAAGTAAAGTTTATGGACTGACATTATGCATAATTTTTCCTAAAAGAAATGGAGAAAAGAAAAGGAGAAGGGTTGTAGAAAGGTCTACGGGACGTAGGAAGTGTCCGGAGAAGGGTTCCAGACTTAGAAAGAAAAATTGATACAAACTTTAGACCTACGAGAGGACCTATGGGTTGTAAAGAAGTCAACAGGCTGTAGGGAGTGCCCGTAGATTTGATCCAGACTTAGTGAGATTTTTGGGCTTGAACTTGAGTTCTACAGAAAGTGTCTACGGACTGTAGGAAGTTTGACAGCCCGTAGAAATGGTGTTGTGGAAAGTGGGTTAAAATCTAAGCCCTAGTAACTTGATCTACGGTTGACCAATACTGTCCATAGGAAGTTCTATGCTCCATAGGTCATAACCATTCATCACTCCCGACAATGTTAATTAAGGGTATTTTAATGTTTTCCCACCCTTCGTAAGCCTAAACGTTAACATTTTTACACCTAATTAAGGGTTTAGGCAGTGTTAATTAATTCATTTACGTCCATTAACACTTCCAAGTCTTAGAACAAGGATCCAAGAGGAAAAACTAGGGTTCCAAGCTAATTCATTAGTTTCGTCAAGAACTTCGTTCTTCCAGGTATGTAAGGTTAATCATAGTGTTGGACTAGTTCGTCCTCACGTCCTACATCTCAATTCAATTAGTAAACGTTTATTATAGGGTTATACCCTTCGTTTTCACGGATTCTTGATATAAGTTATGTCGTTGAGTTTGAATTCTAAATCCTTGATCATGAGTAACTATATATATTATATATTGTGATCCTTGAGTTGATGTTCATGCTTATATCTCACATGAACCCTGATTTTTGAGTTTTGATTAAGAGTCTTTTGAACAAGTATCTTTTGTCATAAATTGATTTTTGAGGAGTTAAAAGCGAGTTCAAAGAGAACTTTTAAAACATAATCTTTGAGTTAAAGTTAAGGGGACTATATGATTCTCAAATGTTTCATTTTTACATGAGGAAAGAGAGTACTATTTTGAGAAAAGTATAGAGAGTTTTAGGAGTTTACAAGAAATTGAGTACAGAGTTGCTACCTCTTAAAGAGACCCTTTTGAGAACTTATCTCAACCTAGAGAGGGTATTTTTACTTGGATAGTGATTTATATATTGTGGAGTAGTATTGAGCATCGATGTGAGAAAGAGTTCTAACAAGTCACCTTCCCGATAAACTACGTAGCCATCGTGGGATATAATTGTTCCTATATTTGATACGCCCAAATTACACCTCCCTAAAGAAGTATAAGTGGTCATTGTCAAATAAAGAACCTAATTTTAGGTTAGGGTCGATCCCACGAGGAATATGGTCTAGACTTAGACTAATCTATGGTTATTTATACTTTTTGTCAAATTACTTTCGTGAAAAAGGAAAAGGGGGGAATTTGTAATTAAAGTAATAGTTTGTTGATTTGTAGCAATAATTAGTAACAAGTAAACATGATTTGTAGCTTGAAATATCAATATGAGATGAGAACTAGTGCATATGTGTTCCCCACAAGCTCTTAACGCAATATTCCTAATAAGAGTAACTTTATCCTAGTGTTAACATGCAAGGTTGGTAAGTTATGTATCTCCTAAGTGATTGGTCCTCCAAGTAGGGAATTTCACCATGCAACTTGGTCCATCTATAAGTGTATGCTTTACTAACCATTACCCTTAACCCCAAATTAGCCCTCGCGGTAGGTGGGTCAGGCTACTAGATGACGGATTATCACGCTAAATCTCCGTTGTTCAATCCCTTTGTCATTCATTACTTCATTGGTCCGAAAAGTAGGACTGAGGCGATTTCTAACTTTGCGAATGGTTCCCACAATCCTAGTTGTGGATTTAGCTATTCATGCTTGAATAATCATAATTCATATTAGGGTTTTAAATAGAAATCATAAACTTACAATTAGATTAATAGATTAAATCTAAAATCTTGACTTGAACAAACGCAAATTGCATAAACCAACTTTAAGAATTAAATGCTGAAAGTGTTCGCAAAAAAATTCCAAAGTAAAAAACAAAGTATCCCAAAAAGTCTAAGAACCCAAAAATGAAAAATACAACTAATATTTATAGAAACTAAATCCTAAACCAAGTAGGAAAAGGAAATCTAGGAAATTCCGATATGGGCAGATTCATCGACGGTTGGCCACCTACGGTCCGTCAAGTGAACTACGGCCCGTGGTCTTCCACTATTGCTCAACAATTGGCCAAATTATGTAGATGTCAATCTAAGGTCATAACCTACGGCCGGTAGGTCTAAGAACAGTCTGTCCTATACACTCGTGGTTCAAGTACTGGAACTCATCTCTTTAAAGTCATCGACGACCCATCAACGACGGCCCGTTAATGGGTTCACGGCCCGTTAGTGGCTTCCGTGGTCTTACACTAAGTCAAACTTCCTTGAACACTTCATCCACGCCTCCACCTACAACTCGTTAATTGAACGACGGTTCGTAGGTGGGCTCGTCTATTGCCATTTTCCTGTTGCTTCAGCTAGTTTCAACTCTATTTTCTCCAAACCTATTTCCTGCAAAATTAGATCAAAATGTCATCACATCTAATAACAAAATGCCTAAGGCTCACACTAAAATTCAAGTATAATACATCAAAATACCGTAAACTCATGATACATCAACACCTCCAACTTAAAATTGTTGCTTGTCCTCAAGCGACACAACAAACTTTAAACGACATTTATGCAGAAGCAACAAACAAACTCAAGCAATCACATGACATTTTCTATCAATTACCCTCTTTAAATCTTTTCAGCACAGTGCAAATCTTTTTATTTAGACTATAAGCTAACCCATGCAGATCAAAACATGACATAGACATACCAACATACATCATCACATACACAAACAACAATAATCAAAATACCGATTCTTCAACAATATAACTTGTGCCCTTACCACAAAGAAATACCTTTTTCACACATAATTTGATGTTTTAGCTAGGGATTCAGTAAACACTCACACTCAAAAGTGAATTCAAATACAGTTAGTACTCAATACCGTAGACTTTCTCTTATTTTCTCAGCTTTGACTTTCCAGACTAATTACTTAGGATCACTATAGGAGGGTAATGAGTCTGGACAACAAAAGGGTAATGCGAACTGGTCAACTTTTCAACAAAGGCCAACTGGACTTGCTCCATCATCTGCTAATGTACCTGCACCCAAGAATAGAGGTAAGTTTAAGAATCAGAATTCTCAGAACTTTAGAGCTAGACCTGCACAGTCTCAAGGTAGTGTGGCACAAAGAGGTAATTGGACTGCTGCATGTGCTAAGTGTGGTAGGAACCCCCCAAGAGAGTGTCGTGATGGCTCCATTGGTTGCTTCAACTGTGGTCAAGCAGGTCACTTCATGAGAGAGTGCCCTAAGAACATGCATGAAAATGGTAATGGGGTAATAGAGCCCAATCTTCTTCAGTGGATCCGCCAGAAAAAGTTGCACATAGAGGAGCTACTTCAAGGACATATGGAGGAGCAAACCATATGTATTCTATTACCAGTCGCTAAGAGCAAAAGAATTCACCTGATGTTGTCACTGGTATGATCAAAGTCTTTACTTTTGATGTATATCCATTGCTAGATCCAGGTGTGAGTCTATATTTTGTGACTCCATACATTGCTATGGATTCTGATATTCTTCCCTAGAAACTTCTTGAGCCCTTCAGTGTTTCCACACCTGTTGGTGAGTCTATTTTATATGAGAGAGTTTATCGTGATTGTACCATTTCTTTAAATCACAAGGACACCATGGCTGACTTAGTCGATTTAGATATGATGGACTTTGATGTTCATGTTTGTTATGCCTCAGTTGATTGTAGAACTCGAGTAGTTAAGTTCCAGTTTCCTAATGCGCCAGTTATTGAGTGGGGGAGTAATTCAGCAGTGCCTAAGGGCAAT